TCATGGGAAATCCCTTTTTCCCCATGTCCTGGTTACACCACTGTCTCCCTCCTCCTGCTTGCTGTTTTTCACAGCAGGTTCTGTTTTCTGTTGTTCCTCCCAGAGACGTGTCAGGAATTAGCAGGGCCATTTCCTCACCATGCTTTCATGCAGATTTCATGCCAACAGAACTGGCAAATGTCTGGAACCCTCCGGAGGGTTTTTAACCAAGACATGGCTGATGCTCAGAAATAATTTGTTGGTGTTTTGAATGTCCCAGATGGCTGTGGCACAAATTCCTGGCCCTGTGGACAAGATCCTAGGTTCATTAGGACTGCAGAAGAGCAGCTCATTTCAGCCCAGCTGAAATATAAATGTCTGCAGGGGCTTGGCAACCCTCCAGTGCATATGCAGGTCTGTCTCTGATGGTTTTCATGTTCAGGCAATGGATCATGCACCCTCTGTTGCTGGTGCTTGCCTCTTTGTGCTGTCAGAGGTCAGGGTTCATAGCTGGCTGATTTGAATTGGTGGACAGAGATTGGGGAATAGTGAAGCTTGTCCTCTGTGGCTCAGGCACACTCATACACTTTGGTTGGGTCCCTTCCTGTTGGCAAGGTCTCCTTGTGTTCCCTTGTCCTTTGCTGTGGAAACTTGTGTGCAGTGCTCATGTTGTCTGACGTAATTTCAGCCCCGGGACACCCCTGTCTTGGTGTGGTGGGAAGGGGAATCAGACGGATGGACAAAAGCTGGTTCTATATTGTGCTTATTCTCTCCCTTCAGTTCTCCCCTCTCTTGCACTGATGGGAAAAGGCTCGTCTTCCTATCTGCTGCCATTCTGACAACATGGAAAGAACATTTAAAGTGATCAATCTTGTGTTTATATGCAGAGTTAGGACATACTGATAAACTGCCTTAAAAATACAAGACTGTGACAGGAAAGCTCCTTTAAAATATGTACAATGATTCTCCCCACCAAGTGCTTTCAGACTGTGCCTTTTAGTTTTACTTAACTTTACTTTTTACTTAGATGAGAAAGATAAAGAGCCCAAGGTACTGGGATTGTTTTAGGGTTCAATTGCTGTGGAGGTTAGAAGACATCCAGCCAGTTAAAATACACTGGGACTTAGCAGAGACAGGTAAACAGATGTTCAAACATCTCAAAACCCTCTGATGAGGTCTGCTTGAAATCCCATGACCCATTTCTGCAGAGGTGTAGTAATGCTTCTGTAGGGGAGATGTTTTCAAAGGCTGACCCACCCGCAGGTGGTTTTCACTGAGGACTGGAAAGTGATGGTACTGAGCACACTTCTCTGCATGTTTTAACAAGGCTGCTGAGAGGAGGAGGGGTGCCCTGTTAGAACATCAAAAGAAATGTCAGTTATTTTTCAGTTAATCCAGGTTTCCTGTGTAAGAACCAGACAGACTTGGTTTGAGTAAGGTGACAACAAAGGCTCAAATGGGGCTGGGCTGGTCATTTATTTCACAGTAGCCAAGGCTTGGCTGGTGGGGCTGTGCCTCATCTCCCTAGGAGAGGGAGGACTGGCAGCTGTTCCCTGCTATGTTTAAAGAACACGGTAGAAAACTTGTGCTGTTGGATATAAGCCGTATTTGGTCTGGATGAGGCATTTTTCCCTCTGCAGATGAAGCACTATGAGTCAGAGGTGTGTGCTGAAAAGTGAGAACTCTGACAGATCAAGCTTGGTCGAACCTCTTTTTTGTCAAGATGCAAGTTGGTACTTTATTTGGTTTTAGTTACACGGTAAGGTGTAAAGTTCTTGGCTTCAGTACATACTTTGAAACTTAGACTTAGCTCGTTATTCTGATGGGACAGAGGTAAAAATGAATCCCACCAACACTAGTACTGGAATTAGTGAGTGGAGGTGGGAGCTTCCTGTACAGCGGTCCTTCAGCTTCCTCATAAAGGACGATGCACTGTGGTGTGCAGCAGTGCTTTCAGAGCACCTCACCACTGGAGAAGAAATCTTCTAGAATTGTATCAGAATAGGTGGATTGTGCTTCCTGAGCATGAAGCTGAGCCAGTGTTGGAACCTGATGTGGGCAGCACAGAGCCCAGGAGACCTGCAAGGTGCTGGACACAAGCTGGTGGTGTTATGCTTGTGGTGGGGATGGGATCTGAGGGGAGTACTGCTTGGGTTTTTTTCCTTTTTCTTATCTTTCTTTCAGTAAATAAAACTAACACCCTCACCTCTTTTCAGCCATTCAGGCAGCAACAGTTCACTTCAGGCTGTTATTTTTTAGAGTAAAGAGACTTTACTGGGAGAAAAAAAACACTGCTTGTTATGCAGGGTGTCTGAAGCTGTTTCACTGTACAGCTGCAGTATTTCAGTGAGTATAAAGGAGTATAAATTCCAGTTAGATGCAAGTAACACGCTGCTGGCAAAACCCAGGTTTGTGTCCTGATTCACACTGGTGGTGTACTCCCAGTGACTTGCATACACTGTGCTGCCTCCTCCTTTGAGTTTTGAACAGATCCACCAGGTTTGTGTTGAAAGGGTAAGTAAGTGTGGGTTGTCCCCTGCCTCGTCAACTCCCCCAGCTTCTCCGGAGTAACGCTCTGTGGTGGAAGCAGTTGGGTTTTCAAGAGGGAAGCAGATGGGCCACATCCAACTGTCACCAGTCCAGAACAGTAGAATTAATGTTGCAGGCCTGTTGCTTCCTCACTCCAGTAACAGTAAGTCAAGTCTATCTGGTGTTTAGTCCAAAGGATCTGACAGAGGTTCTGTTCCTGCATTCAGCATGTGCAAGCTGTACACTTTTTCCAAGTCTTACTTTAAGCCAGTTTAAATAATACTTGATAACTTTGAATTAGTTAAATGAGAGCTTTTCAAGGCATGTATGGACTCTGTGGAGGCAGCCTGTGGTGCCGTGGGAGGGGAGCTGCAACTCACAGAGGTCATTGCAAGGCTCTTGGCATTGGTATGTCAGATATAAAGTGATCTGAAAAACACACTCAGATTATTGTGTTGTAATTACTTTCTGCTTTATCTGAAATTAGCTTTGGCTTTTTTGGCTGGTTGTTTGCAGCTGTTGTCTTTGAAATCACTGCTGCTAGCATGGCTTTTCCACAAGCCCTGCAAGTGCTGGGCTGACGCTGCTGCTGTGGGACTTGGGGCAGTCAAATCCCTCTAGGGAGGTCATCAGGCAGGAAAGCAAGCCCCATGCTGTGGGGCTGTTGGGCTTCAGCAATATGTGGTAGTGTGTAGCCACTGTTGCCTTGCACTTGGGTTTTAACTGCAGGCTTTACAGGAGTTTTATTGTAAGTATTGTCTGAAAGAACATGAAAGAAAATGTCAAACATTTTTCAGGGGTTTTGAAAACGAATTTCTGGGTACAGTTGCTGTACCCCCCCTCCATTCGAGACTTCAATGGGAACACTTTGAGTGCAGTGCGAGGCTGCAGGAGAAAGAAGTCGTCACACGTTGGAAGTCATGTGAATAATAAACAGGATGGGTTTTACCTTCACCACTGAACTCCCTAGTAGTAATACAGAAGTCTTAAAATCTTTAATTTGATCAAATTAAACTCTACCCTCAGCTGAGTTGTGGAAGCTTCCTTGACATTAAGTTGCAGACAGCGTTCTCTCAGAGGGGGGCTTTTACAAAGCCCGAACTCATTTTTCACCTAGAACCTCTCTGCTGCAGGTAGCTACCCAAGAAGAATAACTATCATTTGCATTATGAAGCAGATAAATTAGAAACTACTTTCAAATGGCTGTTGATTTTATTTGCTTGATAAATACAATCCTAACAAAATAAAAGTTAACCGATATTAAGAGATTTGTCTGAAGAACATTAGAAAAATCCATGACAATTCAGTAGGAATTAGTGTGAATTAAACAAACCAAAAAGTTTAAATATTGCCAGCAAATATAAAATGTATGTAACGAAGGCAAGGGAGGATGCTTTAGTTTACATTTGTCACCCGACCACATTTTCTGTGTTTATAAATTCTTTTTTTTTTCCCCAAATTTTAAAAAAATACTATGCTGTTTTCTATAACATATCAAAGCATTATTTGTACAAAATCAAATCATGGCCAATGATTCACAACAGTGCAATAGATAAAGAATACAACCCCATCCAACAGGTGCTGAAAATAAATATCCAGGTTAGAAAATACGATAGCCTCTACGCACGCTGGGGAGTTTGCTGTCTGCAGGTGGAGAATGTGAGTGTATCATCTGAAACGTTAAAACATCAAATGGCCCCTGAATGCCAGCGTGGATGGACAGAAGCTGTCAAACTGCTGGGGTTGGGTTTTTAAATAACAACCAGAAGAGGCTGTTGAAGAACCCCTGGTGCCTCCCAAGGCACTGCCTGTGCTTCAGGCTTATTTGGAAACCTTTAAAATGGATGAAGAAAACACTCTTGACTGGATGGCAGCAGTGTGAGCACAGCCTGTCAGGAACAGGTATGAGGATGGTGGTTTACAGATGGGTAAATGGGTTACCTGCATGGCTAAGAGACACGAACAGCTCTTGGTGAACATTTCCATCATACAGGGACATAAATAACATCTCTTAAGTCTCTACATTTATTCAGTACATCTCGGAACAAAAATGAAGCTTAAGGGCATGTTGGGTAAACATGATACCCCGCAGTCTCCCAAGTTTTCAGCCAACCCAGAATAAATTTAAAGCTCCCTTGTATATCATCTGCATCAGAAAGGTATCAAAGGCACAAGCAAGAAGTGACTAGGTTAATAAGCAGAAGTAATGGTGAATGAGGATGGAGAGAGTCACAAGGCAAATAATTAGTAAGTGGGTGGGGGGTGGTTTTATTTACTGAAAATAAGATCTTCCAATTCGGCTCCAGTGAAGGTAAAGAATGATTTTGGTTTAAAATAAAACAGTTACTGGATTATTTTAAATCACCTGAAGGAAACAGTCTCGAAATAATCTGATACTAGCTGCAAAACTCTTCTGGCCTCTCCAAACTCACCTGAGTCTGATGAGTAGAAGCCATTAAGTATTAGAGACAAAAGTCTCCAGGGCTTAAACGAAAGGTTTCTTTACAGAATGTACACAGCCAGCAATGCTCAGTTGTGCAGTTTGACTCAAATTACAGTAATTTGCACAGTTCAGTTGGTTTCACACATATCCAAGGAGCCTGATCAAATTGGAGTTTCTTTCCTGTCTTTGCTTGGTGATGGCTTCACTTGCTGCTCCTTGCTTGCTTTTGGCTGCTCTTTGGCTGCTTTTGTCTCCAGGACACTGTCTCTCTGCTGCTGCTGCTGCTGCTGCTGAGAAACAACCCCGCGTTTTTCTGCGTCCTCTTCCTCCTGCACCTGCTGCTCCGACTTGGCTCGCTGCAGTAGCCGGAGCTGCACCCGCAGTTCTATGATGGCCTCTCGCTCCTCGTGAATCGCCTGGTTCAGGTGGTTGTTCTTTATCTTTAAGCAAGGAAAACACATGTCAGGGTTCCTTCTGGCAAAGGCAGGCTGGAGCCAAGGGGACATGTAGCACTACACTAGGGAGCCGTGCTGTTGTCCCAGATGGCAACGTGGACTTGCACACATAAGTGATTTCAAAACAGAGCACGTGGGGGTTAAGCCCAGGGACAATGGATGCCAAGCTACCTGTCTGCGCATGTGCAAGTACCTCTGCTCAGACTAAACCCAGTAACTAGAAGGGGAAGAGTGCCAATGAACACTGACACTCAGATCTTACCTCTAATTCTTCGTTCTGTCTCTGCAAATCTTCCAAGATGACCTGCAGTTCCTCCTCATCCTCACTCTCACTTTCACTCTCAGAAGAGTACTCCTCGGTTTCACTTCGGCCATGCTGCTGACGACTGAAAGACCAATGACAAACTGATTCAAACACCTCCTCAAGGCTGCCAGAACCACAGCAGCATAAAAGGGTTAACTTAGATCCACTGAATAATCTGCAACACTTTTAAAAACCAAATCAGATTTTCCTTTCAAAGCTTAATTTAATAATGCAGTGATTTCCGGGGGAGATTTTGTTTAAGAGCACAGGGTCTAGTTTCCTTTAGATCATAATTCCATTGTTACACTAACAAAATATCCTGAAAAGCCCAAAGCTGCCAAGATTGCAGGAAAAAGAGGCAGCTTTCAAATGTGATGTTCACAGGGTGAGTGTTTAGGTGTAGCCGAGAGCGCTGTTTTGGAAGAGCACACGGAAGAGCAGGAGCTCTCGTGTTAGCAGTACCCTCTTACCTTTGTATTTCAGCTATTTCGGCTCGAAGGCGATCTATTTCTTCCTTCTCTGAGGCAATCTGTCTCCGCAGGAACTGCTCCATGGCCAGCAGTTCTTCTTGTTCTGTTAAAATCTCGTTCTCCTGCAATGATCAATTACTTCACTTAAAGCCTTGACTTTATTTTCTGCAGGAACATCCGGTAAGTATGTGATGATGCTGTTCTCTGATACCCTCTCGGTAGGAGTGGTTAGCATGCCTGCTTTAACTCCAGCTCATCAAGACCTCAAAGCAAATGCAAGTTCAAAACCAACCATGTCTGTTCTGAATCCTTACAATGTTTGCTGTACTGAACACAATGATTGCTGCACTGAACAGCTGTGGAGATGACACACTGAGTTCTGGCATGTTTGGCTGCCAATTTCCTTAAATCACAGGGGAAAGCTCTGGCTAACCAGTAAAATAACTAGAAAACCTGAATTACAAAATATATCTTTGAATGTGAATCTAAAGAGGCAACAACAGTGGAGAGAAGATTAAAGCTACCGAGGGAAGCAAACGAAGGCAAGAAGGCCAAAATAGTTGCTTTACTTCCTTTTCAGGAAAGTAGTTAACAGTATTAAACATGTTTGATTTAGAAGGGGTCTCTAAGTACTTCAACAACAAAGGTTACCTTTGGTGGTGATGGTTGTTGCTGCATAGTGTCTCTTTCCTGCTGTTAACAGGTCTCAGCTTTGGGTTCACTCATCCGGTCACCATTCCCTCCCTACTGTACTTACCATTAAAACAAAGCTTTGTATTTTAATAGACACAGAGACTCCTTTAAGCCTTCCATTTCCCATCACAAAGGAGCAAAAGGGTGTTCAGTATTTTTGAGACAGATGGAGCAAGAAAATACCAGCAGACAAACAGTTAAGTGCACCTACCTGCGCAAGCAGAATATTTATAACTTCTTCATTTTCATTCATTTCTTCTTTGGAGACATCCTCCTTTGAAAGGCTGGCAATTTCTTGTGCAATCTTTGTCTCACACTCCTGCCAGAGAAAGAGAAGAACTTTTCAAAGCACAGCTTCCCCAGCCACTCTACTGTAAAAATAGATGTTCTGGAACATACTATTTACTTTCCAAAGATAGAATCACCATCTCGGTTGTCTTGAAAGTTTTCAGCAAGGGACGTATCACAGTTTAACCTTGAGCTTTCCAGTACTTCCTCTTGCTACTCCAGGACACATTTTGTTAAATGTGTAACAAATCCATGCTCTGTCAAACACTAAGTTTTTCATCCTACAGCATGGTTTTTGTCAACAGCTGTGCAGGAGGGTGGAGATGTTGCTGTCCCTAGGGAGAGCCAGCTAACCAGAAAATGCAATTGCTCATCAGCCATGTAAAGTTAGGATGTAAAATCTGCAGTAAAAGGATTGAAACGTGGTTTGATTTAACAGGGTGCCTCTGTAACTGTCACAAATTAGGGATCCACAATTTAGACGCTTGGCCAATAAACAGAGAAGTTACCCACCTGTCTCTTAGCTTCTCTTAGTTTCCTCTTCAGAGCTGTTAAAATTCTTTGCACCTCCCAGAGTCTCTCTTCTTTGGATAAGTCTTTTATCCCTGCCTGCAAGTCTCTGTGTAAACAGTTCAGTAGGAACTCCTGGAAATATTGCAGAGAATCAGAAATTAACATAGTAGGGTGGGCTGAAAAGAAACAATCTTTCTGACATCATGGCAACAGGTTTTCAAAACTCAACCCGTCAACCAACAAGTGTTAACATACATTCAGTACATGATCCAGAACTAGCAGAAGAGCAATATTAAAGAAATCAAACTATTTAATATTTCCTCCTGACCTTTAGAGGAAAGGACCTCAAGATCATCTAGTTCCAACCCCCCTGCCATGAGCAGGGACACCAGACACTAAACCGTGTCACCCAAGGCTCTGTCCAACCTGGCCTTGAACACTGCCAGGGTTGGAGCATTCACAACTTCCTTGGGCAACCTATTCCAGTGCCTCACCACCCTCACTGTAAAGAACTTCTTCCTTGTATCTAACCTGAACTTCCCCTGTTTAAGTTTGAAGCCATTACCCCTTGTCCTACCACAACAGTCCCTAATGAAGAGTCCCTCCCCAGCATCCTTGTAGGCCCCCTTCAGATACTGGAAGGGTGCTATGAGGTCTCCACGCAGCCTTCTCTTCTCCAGGCTGAGCAGCCCCAACTTTCTCAGCCTGTCTTCATACGGGAGGTGCTCCAGCCCCCTGGTCATCCTCATGGCCCTTTCTCCCCCCATAAAGTATTGAACTACATGGCCCTGTCTTTTGTGGATTGCTTTGCTATATAATCATCACAAGGCTGTAACGCTTTTCTGTACGTGAATGGGGAATAGCATCACTAATCTCCTTCCAGTGGTTTCCACTTAAAGGGCAAGTGTGGTAGAATTAGAGTGTCAGTTACAAGCTTATGAGGATTTAGTACTGAATGTATAAAAGCCAGGGCCAAGATAAACAGAAAAACACTGAAGTAATTGCCAACCTGTCGCCTGATTTCTTCCTTGATGCTTTCTTGTGTTTCTGGAAGTGCTGGCATTGTTGCCATATTTGACCAGCGAAGAGGTTTTGTCACCTGCTTCAGGGTCACATTCCCAAAGAACTCTTGAACATGCGTAAAAAATACATACAGGACACGGTTGCTGATCTGCAGAGAAAGGACACACAGAACATTGGATAAGATGATTTATTCACATCATCTTTATCTGTGGAGCATAGTATCCTTCTCTAGAAACAGCCTTTAGAATGCCTTTCTGTGACTCGTAGTGATACTAGTTTGTCCTAAGAGATTAAAATCTGGATTAAAAATGATACTTTAAGTGACCCAGTGCTGTCCCTCCCCAAGGAATCTGTGTCTCTTACCTGCGTATCTGAGGCAGTTTCATGCTAAACTCAGACACATCTTAACCCACTGCAATTATTTCCATCACCGGCAGATACAGAGATAGATACATTATTTTCCTTTTACTCATGTAAAGGTAGGTAGTGACAACAACAGGTAAGATGGAACACAACCATACTGCGTGCTATGGCTGGTTGCTGTCTACCTTCTCTCTCCTTCCCAGCCTGTAAATATTTTCTACATCTCTCTCAGATGATTTACGATAGTAGAAAAAGGAGTTTGAAAGGCGCTGCTGCTGTAGTTCTTGTTTTAGGATGAGACAGAAGCAAGTATTTATTTTGATACTGTATCTATCTTCCATTAAAATGCAAACATCCTGTCCCTACCTGTGTTTTAATTGCTAAAATCTACTTAACAAAAAGCATGACTGGGCCTGCCTTGTTTTGCATTAATTGTTACTTCTTTTCTTAGCTAGAAAGTGTCTGGCACAGCAAAAATAGCCAAGAATAATAGTGCCCAGCCCTTTTGCTACTGGGCTTCCTCCTAGACTCTTAATTATAAAGCCAAGCTCTTCTTGAAGTGTGGGTTTTCTTCTAGAAGACACACACACCCAGTAATGCCATGTTTCCATTATGTGCAGGACTAATTCTGAGATGTATTTAAATTAAACATTTCCAAGATGTTTATTAAAGAATTAACCCAGAAACCACAAACTCTTACTGGAAGACTAAGTCAGTTGTTTTTGCCTGACTGCAGACACCAAAGCCATTAGGCAAAAGTCATTACTGCACCAGAAAGATCTATTTGCAGGACAGGATTCATTGGCTTGATATTAAAACTAAGCAACAATAGAGTCTTCACTAAATTATTGCTGAATCAAAAGCCAACAGAAATTGTGTATCTGCATGAATTGTTGGTCAAATTCAACATTAAATGACTTCTGCTCACAAAAGAATTAAAACCCTGACAGCAGTCTTTGTAATACTCTCATAATAAGCCAGATGTCACACCCATAGTATGCAAGCTCCCATTCAGAAAGTCTTTTGTTCCCCCTTTCCCAGCATTTTAGCTTCCCAGAGTATAAAGAGAAGCTGTGATTTATCTTAGCTCTATCAGACAATACCCCATTCCTACCCGCAAAGAATTTCCACAAAGAAGTCTTTCCTGGGCTGAAGTTCTGCTCTAGCACTTGCTGCGTGGCACACGTACCTGGACAGTAGGGCTGAGCACTATAGAAATATTCTGGATGTTCATTTTTGTTTCCAGTTCCTTTGCAATGACATGGTCCATGTGCACAATCAGCCAAGAAATCAGGAGATGGTTACACTCCGGCAACTCTTTCAGCAGCCTCTGGCACTCCTGAACTTTCTCAGCCTCTGTGCTCTTCCCACAAGCATCTTCAAAGCGGGGCATGAGCTCTTTGGTAAGCAAGTTTTCAGGCAGTTCTCGTAGGTACTGTTTCAGCAAGCTGGCTACTGTATTGGGCTCATATTCTTCCAGGTTGGGAGATTCTTCTCGATCATAGGCTGCTTTTAGCTCATCAACTTTTGATTTTATTCCTTAAAATATTTAGATCAAGAATTAAGAGAAATCTTCAACAGTAAATGTATAATAGTTATATTTAGATTTATTTTTTTTTTTGAGAAAGGCATTTATTTCATCTTTCCTTACAATTTGAACTACTTGAGGAACACCTTTTAAGAGTCACCCACATGTAACAAAGTTAAGATCATGACTCAAAATTACAAAGATCGCTGCTTCTAAAAGCACTGACTACTCCTATGAAGCACAACCACAGCACTGCCAAAGCTCCGAACTGGAACTGGCACCAGCACTCCCTTCCATTAAGGAATATAAAATAGGGCGAGAAGGGGCAGGAGAACACAAGATCAATTGTGTATTTTCAATCAGCATCTTTCTGACTGTTCATTTATGGAGCCCTAAGCCAAGAAGCAAATACGCTGTCAACTCAAATATTGTGCAACAAGTTCTATCATCTATAACAGCTTTCGTCTCTCAAAGCAAGCCACACACTTCTCAGTTCTCAGGTTTCCAGCTGGCCCTCCTCAGTGGAGCAATCTCACACAGGATTCTTGACTTGAGGCACTGTGTGAATAAAACTGTGTTCACAAAGTTATTCAACGCAGCCCGAGTTTTCTGTGAGGTATTTTATAACTCAGTGACATTCCAGTATTCCCAAACTTGGGGAAATTTCGTTCTTAAAGCTCAAACACCCATTTGAGTTTCACCGACTTGGCTCATACACAACAAGCAAAGCTGGGTGCACTCAGCCCACGGTAAATGCCAAGTAAAATATGCTCAGTTTCATGTCCCAGTAAGTTAGGCATCACAACAGCTGGAAGGTTGTTAAGCCACTGGAATGGTCTCTCTGAGCTCTCAGTTTAAACAATCTGACACACACAAGAGGGTGCTATTGTACAGGAGAACACAGACAGTACAAACATTAAAAATGATTTAGGGAAAACACACCTTTATCAGTGAAAATTCCCAACACATCGTGTCTTGGAAAAAAAACCCAAACAACCAGAATGTTCCAACAGGCAAGATGAAGAAGCTGCTTAAGCTGCTGCAGTATTTATGCATGCCTACCACATACCATGCAGATGGACAGCATGAAGACAGCTTGATGATGCCTTTAAAACCATTTGATTACTGCTTTTCAGCGATTCTCCTCAAATTCCTTTCCTCGCTTGTTCTTGCTCCCTTAAACATACCTGCAGAGGTACTTACTTATACAAGTTCCTTTGCAGATGCAGTTTACAACCAAAGGGGCCATTCTGTGTAACGTGACTAAACCTGATGTTTCATTTATGTAAGCTGGTGTTACACAACCGCCACGGTTAATTAGCCTGCTGCTGCTAAGCTTAATTAGGGGAACTTGGATTTTGTGCTCATTAGTGTATTTGCTCAAAGAAAAAAAGTTTTTAAGGAAAAAAAATAATAGGCATACAACGGAAGTAAGTGGAAAAAGCAACTTGGTGGGAAGCTTAAGTAATAAAGTGGTTGTATCTCATCTTTGCTTTTGCAGTCAACTAGCACTGCATTTCTAATGCAGACGTAGAAAACTCAAGCTGACCATACAAACACATTTTATTCATCATTAGCACCCTACCACAAAAGGCCAAAGCAAGTGGTTTCTTACAGCCAATGAGCAGTACCACCACTTCAGCAATTTTTCTGGTACTTCGGACCTACGAGTTTGCTCAGCTTTAGCTGCCTGATTACCTTCTAGATAATTAAAATGAATGCAGCTATTAACAGTCCCTAGGTGGTGAAAATAGTAAGAAGACGGTAAAATAGTAAGAAAATAGCAAGTAAAGACCTTCGGAACCTGCATGTCAGTGTGCCCAGAGTACCTGAAACTCTGTAGATGCCTTCACATTTCATGCCATACTTCTCTACGTAATCTACACATTCACGGAAAACTGCTGGCAGGCGGACGCCATCGTACATCATGGTCCTGTCTACTGCATCAGACAAAGGAATGCCAAACACGGGTCTATGACTTGGAACATCCACTTGAGGTATCTCTGTCTCCTGAATTGGCTTTTTCTTTTTCTTCTTCTCTTTCCACTGTTTTACAACATCTGCCGCAGTTAAGTCTTTTGACTTCTTCTCTTTATGTTTGTCTTCCTTATGTTTTTCTTCCTTGTGTTTTTCATCTTTGGGTTTCTCTTTTATTTTAAAATCCTTTTCCTTTTTTTTGGAAAAGCTGGGTTTCTTGAAGACATGTATTCCTTTGGACCGCTTCAACTTTGAAGGACTCTCAGCTTCATCACCAGAACTGTCCTCTTGAAATGCAGCATAACCTTCCGCTATTGGGCAAAGGAGGAGAAGGCAAGAGGACAGCTGTAAGTCTCTTTAGTTTCTAGACAGCATATTGTAACAGGGAGAGAACAAGAAGTAGTATGTAAGGAGAAAGGAAAAGCAACATGAGTGAAGAAAATAGCACCTGCCTGACTCTGCAGGTTTTCTTTAATCTTTACACAATTAAGTGAACAAGGATTAAATCAAGGTTGCATAATCACACCAAAGATAAGCCACAGATCCTGACCGATCTGAACAATTTATACTTTGTATACTTACTCATAATGGCAATGTCCATCTTACGGATTAGTTTCCCATCTAATAGTCAAGGAAATGCAAAATAAAAAAAATTGTCTGGCAACTTCTCTACGTTCCTGTAATCAACAGTATAAGAGTTGCTGTTAAGGATCATCTACTGCATACACATAAGTCTAACAAGCTTCCGTTAAGAACAAACTAAACTTCAGCCATTTAACTCCCCAATCCCTTCCCAGAATATTACGACTGTTAAGTATGAATAGCTTCAGCTTCAAATAAAATATAAAAAAGAGTAAAATAAGACCCAAGCACACTTACTTTTCCACTAGACAAATAAAACCATTCTAGTAACACTAGCACAATACCTGACTGTGAAGGTATCTGCCTTAAAGAGCAAATGCAAGAGCTTCAAACGAGTCCATGGGTGGAGTACACTGAGCAGCACAACACCAAGTGCTGTCTAAAACGTGCACCAGTGCTTTTTACTAGCTACGCCTCTGCAGCAAGCCCTGCCTGTCCTCCAGGCAACAGCAAGAAAATCTTCAAAGGTGGACTACAAAACACCAAACCCCACCAACAGAAAACCAACCCACAACCAAACCCAACAACACACGAACCAACGTGACTTCCAAGTCAATTAACTGCGATTTCACACACATGTAAGAAAAGCAAGCCTGAAACCTGGTCATCAAAGACAACAGTTTACACGCCATTTGCACCAGCCAGGTCCCCCAAGGCAGTGGGCAGCGAGCTCCTGCTTCAGCATGAAGCCCCCTTTATACAGACCCTTTAAGGCTCTTCCACTACCCACGGGCAGCACCTCTGCCCAAGCGAAGAAGCACACTGACAGCCAAGTGCTCTTCCTGCATAGTTTTGGGTGGTGGAAAATTACCCCTTAGATTATGAGAGAGCGCATCACACGTGAGCTTACAGGCTGTAATTTTTACAGGTGAAAGATCTTATGCAAAAGAACCAGGAAACATTCAGTCTTTTGTTCTTCCAATTCTAAATTATACTAAGCTGCAGAGCATCTCAGCATTAACTCTGCATGTCCAAGGAGCTGTCTGTATTTTGAAGCCCCCTTGGCTGCTCTGTAGAAGGCAGCTTTTAACAGTCAAATAAATACAAGAAATGTATTAAAGCATGGAACTGCCATAAAATAATTACAATTGCTGGACCAGCTCACTCTTCCCATCCTGGACTCTTCCCCTAGGGCTACCAAACACGCACGTTCATAGAAGACAGAGAAGGACTGACTGCAGCGCTGATCCTGTCAAAGTGATTTTTTATAATGAAATGCAAACGTTATCTGCAGCACAACCAGCAGCCAGGTCTCATCCAGTTTACCAGCTATAGCATCATCATTCACTCTTTCTGTAAACTAAACCCAGAAATGGCTAAGGAAACCTGCAGTACATGAAGGACGGATTCACATCTCACTGATCCAGAAGGAACTGGTGATGCACCAGCTATGGGACAAAGGAGGAGCAGGCATCACTAGTGTGTTATGTCAGAATGAGATGGGGCTGGCACTGAATTTCAGGATGGGGTTCACAGATGTAATTTCTGAGCAGAAAGCCAGATCTCCACCAGACAGAGCCCAGAACAACCTGCCCTCAACCTTTTCTGGTGTAACGGATCACAGTCAAACAGCATAGGGTCGCCACCCCACACCCCCCCCACCATGTCCTCTGGGTCAGCACAGGGGACCCAAGCTTGGAGGTCAATGTCACCAAAAGAACACCCGCCTTAGTGCCTCAACACCCCATGTTGCAACACAAACTTTTCTAGATCTGTGGTAACGTAACACCAGCAATGGCATGTTACTGAAACTGGTATTTCTTGACTTCACAAGAAGATGGGAAGGAGCAAGTTAAATACAAACCAGCCTATTCTAATTTGTCTCAGTAATGTAAGTCACAATTTAGAAATACATACTAATTAGATTCACAGAGAATCTCCCACCCATACCAAGAGTGGGGTTTGTATGTCTCTCAGAGTAGCCCGGTTTTCTTTACCATACTTCTGCTAATAAAGTTACTGTACCCCTTCCACCAGTGATACAATATATTGAAATATAAACCACCTAAATTTATACAGGAGAAAGATTATCAAAAGCAGGAGAAAGATTAGCAGAAGCAGTAGACAACTCAAGTGATTTTAAAAGTGGAAAGAAGTATTACTGGTATTTCTGCTCACTGTTTCCTCAAGACTTCCAGTACTAATAAATAGTCTGTGTTTTCCCATCACTCTAATGTATGTCAATGACATTTTCCTCCACCTATATGAGACCAATACTGATTTAATAAATACTCCAGATCCACCGGCATAACAAGTGGGCTATGTGCCAGTTCCTTGCTCAGGTTTTGTTAGACCTTCCACAAGCAAGCCTTCACTGCAGTTACTTTAAACAGGATGCTCCAAGTATAGCCCTTATCTTACAGAAAATCATGAAAATCTCTTTTAAAAGTAGTAATAAAAAAAATTAAAATATTCCAGTGTTACTATGGAAGAATCTAACTTACAGGCTTAAAAGCTTTGTCATGCAGAGAGGCCACTGTAACAGCCTGTGTACTTAGGAATGCTTCCCCGGCACTCCTACAACGAAGTCATAAATTCATGCTATGTAGTATTTATTGTGAACAGAAAGGGTTGAGTTGAGTATAGAACTGCCACTTAGAAAACCTACTACAAGATACATTTTGTGCATCAAGTGTCTGGCGAGTTTTTAAGCCATTTATACCTCTACACCTCGTTTTGGCTCCCTGGGGAAATTTGCATGCATCAGTAATTAATTCACTGGAAGAAAGCATGGATCACTGTTACATATGGAATAATTGGTTGGTCAAATATGACTACAGGGACCAAAGTGCAACGCTACCATTAGTTCAAATAGAATCATAGAATCATAGAATAGTTAGGGTTGGAAAGGACCTTAAGATCATCTAGTTCCACCCCCCCTGCCATGAACAGGGACACCACACACTAAACGATGTCACCCAAGGCTCTGTCCAGCCTGGCCTTGAACACCTCCAGGGTTGGAGCATTCACAACTTCCTTGGGCAACCTATTCCAGTGCCTCACCACCCTCACTGTGAAGAACTTCTTCCTTACATCTAACCTAAAGTTCCCCTGTTTAAGTTTAAACCCATTACCCCTTGTCCTACCACTACAGTCCCTAGTTACCTAATTGATTTGTCAGAGGGATTGCCATCAGTATATACCATTTCTAAATAAAACAGTGAGACACATGGTGATGCATAATGAGCTTGGGTAGATGGCTTTTCTTTCCTCTCCTCACCCACAAGATGTATTGTGACCATTAACAGAAACTTCAAACTCACAGACAGTACCAGCACTTACAATCCAACTTTCAATTAGATCGGTTTGCTTTTAATACACATTCAACTCACTCATGTGAGCACAGCACTCCCTAAAAATTGTGCATTCTAATTACTGCGCAGTGCTATGCAAGGAGAGCAAATGAGGCTGAAACAGGAAATTTGCCTTACCTCGTTTTGATTAAAAATAATTACTGGCACTGAAAGGCAGACTTTTAAACTGTTTGCAAATGGTACTTTGCTAAATAAATACACATTGGTACACTGATATACATAGTAATTTGTCAGTAGAATAGAATGAAGCAGCACAAAGATAAACCTTGATATGAAGAGCCTCTAATGCTTATCATGGGTAGGAAGCTCTAGTAACTTCCTATTCTGTAAACCTGGAAGCTGTATTCAGAGCTTCTCCACACACCACATCAGTAAAAATAACATTCTGTTTGCAATAGCAGCAATTTGGTTATCTTGTAGGATGACAACGGCCTCCTTAGATTTCTAACAGAGCTCGCCCCATACACATGTAGTACCCACTGCTACCACTCTGCACAGAGTGAAGGATCATAAGGACAGAGACAATTTATCATGCCACTGCTCTATATGAGAGAGCTGGGCATACCATTAGAGCTTTTGCATGGTTGCTGGATGTTCACATTCCTGAGGAGAAAGTATTTTGGAGAAAAGAATCCCTTAAGATGACAGAAGAGAGAAGAGGCTGGCATCCAGTACCTGACAGACAGCCACAGATCACTAGAACCTCAACTCAGCAACTCAGCGGAAGGAGATAAGGGATAACACCCAATCTGGACCACAGATTGTTCGGAGCAGGCCCCCAGGTTAACAACAGGAATATTTCAGTCCTCATCTACCTCCCAGAAGAACACGCAGGATCCCCTGCCCAACACATTTGGGATTTGGTCTTCAAAAATATTTCCTGAAAATATCAGAAGAGTTCATGCCAGTGATATTACTGTCCTTTCACAAAATAGCTTCATTTACAGTTCAACCAATTCTCCATTTCCCCCAAGAATTCTATAAAGAAAATGAAAATCATTCTAAACAAAAACTCCTGGCTGCATATTGAACCCATCCTGCCCCATGGCATCCCTCTTGGAAGTAAAACGATTAAGCACAGTAAGATCTACTACTTACAGAATCTTTATCTACAGAGATTGTAACGGGTAGAATAGCTTTTTTCTTCTGAAGTATGCCTTAGAACCTTTGTCCTTTTGCAAGGAACTGCCCATGTTACGACTTTATCAACACATGACTACTGACGGGGTTAAACATTCATTTTTAAAAACCAACTATGCTGGTCACTGTCTCACAGAAACCATTACTGCTGAAGAAAGGTCTATTTTTGCTCTCCCGCTGCCACAGTGCAAGTCTTGCACGGACAAGGGATCTTTTGAGTCAGGGAGCAGATCTGAGTTGAAACTATCCGACTGAAAACGAAATTCATTTTTAATCCCTAGTAAATCCCCTAATCTAACTCACTTTCCAGCTAACCAACAATCACAGAGGAGCAGAGAACAGAGATGAGTGGCTGAAACATATTTCCAGCAGCCAACATTCCACATAAAAACCAGTATTCCATTTAATTTCCTATTATCTCCAAAACATTTCTGAAGTTTATATTTAGAGTATTATCAAAATACCCCAAAACCTGAAAAGGTGGGAAGAAACTGAAGAATCGGAAGTGTGGAAGGAATAAAAAAAGGGCAAAGCTGGAAGGGGGACTCTTAAAATCAACCATGTTAAGCAACTGTAAAGAACACCTGTCAACTACATAAGTGAAATGTCTGCTCAAGGTATATTTACGATAATGACTATTTTTGGACTGTACAAGATGTACTGAGAGCTTTGTAAGTAACTTCCTCTTATATCTGACTGGCAATTATATGACATATACTTACATAAGGGCTAAGAAATGAGGAATGCTTTTTACATTACAGATGCAGGAAATTTGATTCTTCCTACGTTTTGCCTTTTTGTGGTTTTGAGGATTTTTTTATACCTTTAAAGCTTCTTTTAAGTAACAAAAATTGCTTTACATCAGCTATAAAATGTGTTGTGATCTCTTGTGGAAGAAAGCAGTTACAGCGCTAATGTGCACAGACCTGCATGTATTTGCTGAAGAAGCGTTTTTCCTCTTTAGCCTTCAGTTACACTGTCACCAAGAGACATGCCAAATTATACCACAAAGAAACCCACACTATGTATAATGCTGACCTCTAACAATTCCAAATTTAGAGGTGTCTAATGCGGGGTTATAACAGAAAGCCGATTTGCAAAGAGTAAAAAAACCAACTACTAACAGCCTGAATTTAGACCTATCCAATAATACTGAATTTCCATCACCACTCCAGTAATCTGTATTGGGTCAATGTTGTTAGAGAAAAGCCCTGAGAAATCACTTTTCTTAAAATATGTAGGAATTATTTAAACTGCTTGATTTAACTTGAGGATAATGTACTTCTGAGTTACAGCGTTATTTAGGCACATGGTCTTCAGACAGAGTAACAACAGTCCTTCTAAACTGTGGTAGAAACAATTCCTGCATTCCAGGAAACTGGCTTGATTAAAAGCAGTGCAGTGGCAGCAAATTCTTAAAGAGTAATTAATTATTTAAATATTTGCATGCATATTTACAGACAGTCACCAGATTCTTCTAGCAGAATACTGTGTGCTGTCTCACTGGTTTTTATCTTCCAAACACCACATGTAAGAAGTAGTGAGGTACACTGGCAGCCAGAACTCCCAGGCATCAGAGACACAAGCACGGTAGAAGAGGAACATTATTTTGAAGTTTTGCTAAAACAAATGTCAGTTAAAAAAAGTACCAGCATGTGGGCTGTGATATTTAGGTTTCAGAGACTTGGACGGGAAGGATCTTTCTGGTACTGAGAGTGCTCAGTACCAGCTTAGTATTACCAAGTGCTTTGTTCTCTCAGAATATGTAGAACTCTTATTGAATAAAAACTATTTCACGTTTCCAGAATTTTCTGCACAAATCTAAAGGTGGAAAGCTAAGACTTCTCTTGTGTTGCTCTGATGAGGGGTATACTTTTTAAACGAAAACCTCCATTCTTACATGGATACTGACAGAATGGTTTCTACAGTCAAAGCTTTACTTTCCTCTAACCTTTACTCTGTTGGTCCTAGTAAGTTCAGATCTCAACGCTGGCTGGCACGTTTTTGAACTCTGCAATACCACTTTGGCACTGCTGGTGGAAACTGCATGATCAGACTAAAATGAGAAGCTAGAGAAAACAAAAAGGACACAGATCTTATTGCTCCTCAAACAATGATGCAGTGTGCACATGACAACTTGAGGTGGTACACAACGGCAAACTCCAAATATGCAAGACGTAAGGGAAAAGGGTTAAAGTTGTCAAAACTGACTCTTCCACATTTAAAAATACAAAATTCAGGTCAAACTTACTTTTATCTTAGCTAGGCCCTCAGCTGCAATTTCAGAAAGCATCTATTTTGAAATACACTTGGAAACTTCCACGTAGAATGTGAACAGATAATAAGATTAGAAGAACCTCAAGCCAGGCAATTACCAATGCACTGCTAAAGGTTCTGGATAAACATGTTTATTAGTAATTCTGGGCACATGCTTGGCACCCGTACCTGTGCAGCAAAAAACAAATCCAGTTTTTGGTTAAGGTGTGGGTTTCTTTGGAAGAGAAACAGGTATTGCACAAAGCCTGTTTGTACAAGTTAGCTTCCTTCACACCTAAACAAGTTTTAAAAAAGCACTGGGAATACTAAGCAATTTTGAGAGAGAAAGAAAGAGGAAAAGAGAAATTATAAGCATGAAATAAGAGCAGTTTCCTACTCACTTCTTTTTTCTTTCTTCTTAAATTTTCCTTTCTTCTTCCCATGCTCTTTTTCATCATCAGATACTATATCTGGAGGCTCATGCAAGCTGTCATGAGGCGGGGAAGGCTCACCAGTGCGGTACAATCCAGGGAATTTTGTAGGGCTGATTTCTTCAGAGCTGGGAGTACGAGCAAGACCCCCACTGTGCTCTACCCGACGGTGTTCACTGGGGCTGCTAGTGGGAGGCAGGAAGCACTCAGTCATTCTGATTCCCTGATATCCAAGTGAAATCTTCTGCTACCTGTCCATCACACCTGCAGCAGGGACAACAAAAAGAAACCCCACACAATTTTAAGCAATGGGTTTCAGAACACCTTGTTTAGAGCTCTATCATGAAAACACAAACAGCAATACTTCCTGCAATGAATGCTCCAACTTATGTCAGGACACAGCAATGAACATCAGGTCCTAAGCTCAGTGTTTGCAGAATCTGTCCATTAATTCCTAAGCCACATTAACATAATGAGAGCTGCTGTTTTAGCCAGTTCTATTTTATAATATGTAAAACATTCTGTATTAAGTAGGAGACTATTTTAACATTTGAAATAACTCTTACAAAATGCATAGGCAGCTTGTGTACTGATGGGTAATATTTACAATAAAATAACTATCTTTAAACTTTTGATACAAAACAGATTTGTCTGGAAGCTCAGAACATTTGTGAGCACTGCACTTGAGGCAAAGATCATTTTCATCTTTCCCAAGCATATTTTGTAGATGCAAATAAGAACTTGCCTAGCCTGCTGCAATAAGGGAAGGGGGGAAGGTAAAACAGATCCATCTTCTAATTATGGTAATGCAAATTAATGAAGGTAGGTAGAAAAAGCATGGTTATGTTTTTCTAGTATACAAGAACTTCACATTCAAAGAGGCTGTATCAGGTCATCTGCACCCAGATGCTGGTATGTTATCTGCCTGAGTTATGACCAAACAAAAGCTAATATTAAACTGCTGAAGGAAGCCAATACATAAATTCTCAGCAGTGATACTCATAAGCAAAAAACCTCTTTCCTAGCACAGGTAGTTCCAGAATTTCCACAGAACATATGCTGCATGGGACATCATACCTCTGGAGTCCACTCTGCTGAACTTGGCCCTTTGTGTCTAAACGGTCACCCTCAGATATGAGCCCTTCTTTCACAGCATGAAAGGAAAACAGAAATAGAGCAAACCCTAGAGAAAGAAAAAGTGTATTTCCCACACCCAGTGCTGTAACTGGCTGACAGGTTGTCCTGGGTTCAGCTACAGCAGTCAATTTTTTTCTCCTTCTTAGTAGCTGGTGCAGTGCTGTGGTTTTGACTTAAACCAGGACACAGGCCAAGTCACAGTTACACCCTAACTTCAACTTAAATCTGTGCTACTGTGTTACTGCTGAGAGGAAACTGATCTGCTGGAAGACAAACAGAAAAGAAAAGATTTTTCTTATTTTAAAGATGCATCAGTTCCACAGCCTGGCTCCCTGTGCAGCCGTACGAGTGTCACAGGGACACTTTGGGAAAGATGCCCTGCACTTCAGATCTAAAGTGATCATAGTAGCTATGTAGTCATGGCCTTAAACCCCCCTTCTCCCCAAAAAACAAATCACAAACCCTAAAGTTAAAACATAAAATTACACATAAAAGCCTTATTAAGCCTATTTCCATGAGTATTTTAGTTGTGACAAGTATATCCAGATACAACAGCTGTGGTTTCTGCACTAGCCTTTGGATTCTGCAGTCACCTCTGGTACTCTTGCTATTTAATGCTGATGTACAGATCACAGTCAAGAAGAAAGCAGTCAACACTTTGCTAAGCGAGGCAAACAGTCATGGATACCTGCTATTTTATAAACTGACACATAGTTCCTGGCTAAGCAGGAACTCCTGATACATCATACAAACAGACCGTAACTTCTTATGCAAAAGCAGAAAACCTCTTTAAAAGAGAACAGCATTAACACAAAGCACAGCCAGTTTCTTTGTATTTTCTTGTTATGCTTGTTGGGTTTTGTTGCATTCTAATTGCTATCAAACACCCCGCTGCTATGGTAATTCAATACTGCTTTTAAACGAGTTAATGACATGCTCAAACAAGACATTTTAGGAGAAATGTCCAGGTATCTAGAGCTTCAGACTTACAGATATACAAACAGGTCACAACTTTCAACGCTACAAGCATTTTCAGTATTACCAATGACACAGAGTGGCAACACTACTGCATTCATCTGAGCATCAGAATGAGCTGTAAAATTCCTGCACAGCACCTCTTTGCATTTCATCCACCCACCCCAAAAAAGAGAACCCAAAACACCCCACCCGAAGCTGCTAAGGGACAGATGGTTATTTCAGCAGTAGCCCAGGGGATGAAATAGAAATACTACATATAATGTTTTTAAGTGAATTGGACGCATCACACCTACAAACCAGTCCATGGCTAGAGTGGGCAAGATGGGCAAGTGCACAGAGGGAAAGGACAATGCCACTGCAAAAGCACTGACCACCACCCTGGAAAATAAGGATGCACATGCTTTGCCTCTGGAACCAGCAGAGCTCCTGGGATGAAGCCAGCCTTAGCCAATACATTCCACAACACTCCTCAGCGGTGTTACTCAACTCCTGGCATCTTATTTATGGATGGGTGGAATACAGAAGAACATAATATGGAATTGTGTTTTGCCAGGTTAATAATTACAAATGTGCCCAGCTAAGTGGGTTGTGGGGAGGGTTGTATTTGTTTCGTTGGTTGGTTGGGGTTTTTTTAGAACCAACCTCTCATCCTTCAGTTCTCTGTATGCAGAACACGGTGAAAACTGTGTGAAAGGAAGTATCTCACTACAGGTGATCACTCACAGGGGCTTACGGAAATTACTCAGATCAGAATCTGAACAGGGCACAGCAAGACATGGAATTATGATGAGAAACAAAATATTCATGAGGTCTTTTAATAGAGTTCATTCTTTATTCTGGCTAAAGCAGAGACATTGACTAAAAATAAAGATAATAGTGCATATTTGTAAACGCAACAAAAGACGACTGCACTTATGTTTCATATTTTTAATTTTACAGCTTTAAGAAAGCAGTGCTTTTCTATATGTGTAATTGCCTAGTCCTTTAAGTAAGGGAGAAATTCCATGGCGCTCAAATTGAGATATCAAGACTTATCAGCAGAATCAGAGCCTTTAGGCCTAATGTACTATTGCCATACAAACCTGCGTCCATTCTCCAGCTTTCACAGCAAAAAAATGGTGAGAAGGAAGAGTCACGGATCCTCTCAGCATTTTGAAAAGGAACTTTTCTGACAGACTGATTCTTCTGCCAGCGTCTCCTTCTCAGACTTGACCCTTTGTTCCAAATCTGTAAATGAGTCAGTCCTGCCTCTCCTCTGCAGCAGGCTCCTTGCTTCAAATTGCTTTTCTTCACCTATGCAGTTCTCATCTGCAGCCAGGTTTAACAGCTCACTACTATCACATGGGGAAGGTCATATTACTCCCCACATTAACACACCCCCCCAGTTCCAGTGGTCTGCTTTCCCCAGACCCCTTTGTGACATGACTCGATTTGCTAACTGCTCCAGCGGGCTTCTGCTGCTGAGCTGGCTTGTGGAAGAGCTCAACAGCCTCTCAAGATGGAAAGCAGAGGAGTGGCAGAACATGATGACAGGGGTGCAACCTCCCTCTCTGTGCAGCTCTGTTCTGTGTTACTGCACGCAGAGCTTCACCTCCCCACATTTCACTTTCACTCAGACCTAACTAACTACTCTTTACAGTATCCCCAAAATGCAGTTTCTTGAACCATCTTTCTACTCAACATGGAGTCGAACCTTCAGAATAACGGACTGTCAAAAATAAACACCTTCACTGAACATGTGCAGAACCATGACATCTCCTCTACCCGCCAAGGAAAGGCTAAATTAAAGGAGAATTTAAACATGGAAAGCAGAAGGTATGCCCTTAACACAGAAACTCCCAGACATCATACCACCACCATACAATGATAGAATGGTTTGGGTTGGAAAGGACCTTAAAGATCATCCAGCTCCACCCCCGCTGCCATGGGCAGGGACATCTTCCACTAGAGCAGGTTGCTCAAAGCCCCTGTGTCCAACCTGGCCTTGAACACTGCCAGGGATGGGGCAGCCACAGCTTCTCTGGGCAACCTGTGCCAGTGTCTCACCACCCTCACAGGGAAGAACTTCTGCCTAGTACCTAATTTTAATCCGCCCTCTTTCAGTTTAAAGCCACTATCCTTAAAAGCCCATGTAAAAAGTCCCTCTCCAGATTTCTTTTAAGTCCCCTTTAGTGCTGGAAGGCTGCTATAAGGTCTCTCTGAAGACTTCTCTTCTCCAGGCTGAAAAAGTCCAGCTCTTTCAGACTGTCTTCGCAGCCCTCTGAGCATCTTTGTGGCCCTCCTCTGGGCTTGCTCCAGCTCAGCCATCTTTCAAGACCATACACCAAGCACAGGAATGTGGGCTGCCTGCATGGGCAAATAATGTGGAGTTTTTTTCAAGCATCATTTTTGAAAATAACAACTCTTTCCTCAAATTAAAAAAAAAAAATAAAATAAAAAAATCACCCTGAGCTACATACCTAATAAATCAGAATTAATATTAAACAGCTGAGGTTTGGAAAAAGTGCAGACAGAGACACGACAGCCATCTTTAACAGATTTCACTTATTACAGTGTGTCATCTAATCCAGCATGAACACGTTAAAAGAGAGGCACAGTCTGAAAGACCAAACTCGCAGCTCTGTCATTCACACAGAAGGCCCATTATTTCTGTTTTGCACTGTGCCTGTGACTTCGTGCCTTGGAACGAATTGCAACAGCAGAAGCAAATTAGAGCAGGTGATTGCACGCACAGATGTTATTTTGTAAAGCTGGGAGGCAGAATGAGGGACATGGGGAATTTTTCTGCAACAAGCATTACGCAAGACCACATCTGAAACGCAGTGGGTGTCCCCAGCTCATCCCATTTTCCCATAAGCAGACACACTGAAAACCTGGGTGTTATATCAAAAGTATCACCACCAGATACCAGAACCTGTTCTGCTGTCACTGCCTAAAAGCAAGACCAAGAACACAGCAGTGCCTCATCATTGTTTTCAGTCCGAAAGATCTGGACTTGCATGAAGAAACTGATGTTATTTGAAGTAATGAGACACATCGCTTTTGGACAAAAATTATCCTTTAAAATTATGCTTTTTAAGCAGCATAGTTCCATTTTGGAAAGCAATGAACCATAAAAGGAAAGAATAAAAACTATCATTTAGTGTCAAAACACTTCAG